ATGTAATTTTTCGCACTGCGACCTCACAAATCTTAAAATTTTTCCTCGCTCGCAAATGAATTTTCAGACCATCACACCCAACTGCAAAGTATGATGCTTAAGCTATATCTTATATGATGTGTAATGAGAAACAAATATTGAAATCATCCCTGATAATGTAATCATATATGAATCATATATGGGTATATACCAATATCTAAAAACTTGTCTATTTTTGCTTTAAAATTCTCTTTGAAGGTGCCCTTTTTTCTCCCGAAAGTGCCTTTTTTTGTTGGTGCCCCCCCCCCCACTTTGAAAGTCGCTCCGCCGCCTCTGTGACTGTGTACATGTCACATGTGTTAATGCTCCAACACTCAAGAGCGGTCGAAGATTCCATAAATTAATACATTTAGTAGTTGCATATGTTCATAGGCTGTTAAGTAGAACATTGAACACGATGACGATAGTCAAGACTCAAGACGAGGTCAGAGACAAGCGCAAGGACACGGATAAAGACACGGAGAAATTAGCTCCCGTCCTCTCTCTCTCTCTCTCTCTGTACAATTTATAATATTAACATTCCTTTCTATTTTACGAAATTTACATACGGGTGTCAACTTGGAGGGGGAGGGGAGGGGGGGGTTCTCAGGGAATAAGGTTGGGGGCACACCCCTTTGCATGCTAAGGGATGATGTCGAAATTAAAAATAAATAACAAGTGGGAGAGGAGGGGGTGAAATATATTTCCTAGCAACGGCGCACTAAATATTGTAATGGGAAGGGGTAAATGCATCAATTTTGAGGACAGCTTACAATTATTAAAATAGGATATGAACATGTATATACATATTCTTTTTCCAATTAAAATATATAGACCAGTTTGAGAAACACCCCTCTCAAATAATGAAATTGAAGCTCTTTACCAATCATGACTGTGAAAGAATATGTTCTTGACTAAATACGTGACGATACAAATTTTGCGGGAAACCGCCTACTAATTGATATATATTTGGAAAATTATCACACCGATCCGGCCTGGAAAAATATCGAGAATGTACTTCAACATTGAACATTTGGGCAGATATTTCTGCTTTTTTGCAAATTTAGTTTAAAGTATTGCCATATAAACCTCTGAAGGCAAAATTTAAACAATATCGAATGGATATTTTGTACCCAAAACCCTTAAACGGCATTTTTACTTCTACCCGTCTATATCTTTAACTTGGTGCCCTCTCTTTGCGTTCGATTTTATTATTATTTTTATTTTTAAAATTTGTTCAGTGTCTATTTTCAGTTGTGCCCTCCCTTCTAATAATTTTATTAATATCATAATTTTAAATTAAACTCAAATTTCAATTTGAGTTGCCCCCTTAAATTTGTTTAAACCTCAAGTTGCCCCCCCCCCCCTTCCCCTAATTTTCAATTAACACCCCTTTCAAGCCCCTTTTAACTCTTTTTGAACTCCTCCCCCTACTCCTATATTAAACATTGAAACGCCCCTAAATACATCCACCCTATTTCCTGAAATTTACAAAGGGTTGTCAACTTGGAGGGAGGGGGAAATCAGGGTACAAGGGTACAAGGGTAGGGGCACAGGAAATTCGGAGGACAGCTTAAAGTTAAAACAAAAGAATATGTACATGTATATACGTATTTTATTCAATTAAAATGTCTTCTTTTCCCTCTTTTCCATTTTCTTCCTCTATATTTTCTTTCCCGGCCTTTCTCTCCTCTTTCCCTTTGCCTCTCCCTTCCCTTCCGTCTCTCTCTCTCTCCCCCCCCCCCCCTCTCTCTCTCTCTCTCTCTTTGCTGAGAGGCTATCTTAGAAACACCCCAATACACTTTAAGCTCCGTCCCGCGCCGCATCTGTTTTGCTACATGTATGTTGGTGTTCAAAATTGTACCTAAAAATTGATTTTCAGAGAGTAAAATGCTAGAATTTTCCCAACCATCGGAGGGAGAGATGAATTCTTGATATCAAGAAATGAATTTTTGATATCAAGAAAAGAATTCGTGATATCAAGAAATAATTTTACGTTGTAAAGCAATGGTAATTCTTGATATCAAGAAATATGTTTAAATGGTAAAACGGCTTGCCATACTACCGTGCTGTCCGTCATGAAAATGCACAAGATGGGGCCTTGTTCACGAGTATACAGTATAGTCGTGATACAGGCCCCCATGTCCGTGTTGTAGAACACGCAACGCCGTTGCGCGGCCTATAGGAGACTCTTACTCGTCATACAGGCCCCCCAACTGCGGGGCCTGTACCCGCCCCCCCCCCCCCCCCCCCCCCCTCAGTGTTATTTAGGGTACGCATATGCTCGTACCCTCTTTTTGAAAGCACCCCCTATCTGAGGACTGCCAACATTTCCGAACCCCCCTTTCGCGGGCTTTTCGCGGGCTTTTCCTGCCTTGGAGACCCCCCTAAATCAGGAAAAATGTTCAATATACCCCCCTAAATTCGGAATAATTTCTCAGGAGTTCAAAGAGATGAGAGAAAAAAAGAAAAACACCCCCTTTTTAAAGAAATCTCCGGGAGAAAAGTCAAATACACCCCTTTTTTTTTACAATTCTCGGGCCGGACTTTGTCGCACGAAAAGTACCCCTTTACCAGACATTTTGGCAACACGCATGCGGTCATTCCGACCTCTGAGTGGGGGGGGGGGGCGGGTGCCTGTATCACGAGTATGCCTGGAACATACTCGAGACTAGTAAGTTAAAAACCAAATATTGAAGACGAACGCGTGGTGGATATCACTAAATATTATGCATATCTGCCATAGGCTTAGGAAGATTTTCAGGATTGGGGGGGGGGGGGGGGGCTCCATCATTTGTTTTTGACCCGCCGTTTGAAGATTCCCCCCCCCCCCCCGACTGCCCCCCTCCCCCCCCCCCCCCCCCCCCCGTTGTCACCATTTTAGACAGTCTTCAGTTTCCTTTAAGCCTTCCTTTATCTTCTCTCTTTGCTCTATCCCCATTTAAGACCCACTAGGGAGATTTAACACCTTTGGAAAAAATAATACGCTAGGAACGTGAAAAACAAAACTTTTATTGTAACACATGCCTATAATCGGACATATTTAAAAAACTGAAATGTGGCACCGCCCAAAAAATAAAATTCTGAGATCCTCCTTCGTCTTTAATTTGCCCCTGGAAATAAAGTTTTTTTGGTAATAGTAATGTTAGACAGTCATAACCCACATCCAATGAATGAATCGCGGTCAATGGGATGATATTTTTTCATTCTGACCACTATAAAGTACAAATCATACGATATCATTACGCCTACATCAGATCTGATTAAAAAAGGGCAATGAATTATTAAAAAAAACTTACTTGATGACGTCCGGGGAGATGAAGATGTGCCTGTGATGATCTTACTCCAATGCAATGCAAGGCTATAAGCCCCCATCAATCAATCTCCTAATATTTATAAACTGTCAGTTTTAATAATAATTTGAATACTTAGTCGATCTGTAGATTATAGAAACGCATAAAGCTTCTAGCCCAGAACATAAGTGTGCAAATATATTTGGGGAGGGCGGGATCAATGATAGCCTATCCGAGCCCGAATAAGATATTGGGGGGGGGGGCTCATGATAACCGAGCCCGGCCAAAATATTGGGGGGGGGGGGGGGGGGTGGGGGGCTCGATGATATCCGAGCCCCTCAAAAATATCAGGGGGCTCCGTGATGTTATCCGAGCCCCACAAAAATATCGGGGGGGGGGGGGGCTCCGTGATATTATCTGAGCCCCACCAACAATAATTGGGGGGCTGATGATATCTGAGTCCGTCCAAAATATGGGGGGGGGGGCTCAAAAATATCTTAGCCCCACCAAAATATGGGGAGGGGGGTGCTCAATGATATCAGAGTCCCGCCAAGAAATTATTTGGGGGTCTCAATTATATCCGAGATCCACCAAATATATTCTTTGGGGGTCGATGATATGCGAGATCCGATGTCTGAGCCCCCCCCCCCCCCTCCCCAAATAAATATTATAAAATGTTTATATTTGAATGGTACGTCTGTAGATTATAGGTATACATGAGTTTCATGCCTAGAATATAATGATAGGGGAGGTGGGGGTTAATGATATCCGAGCCCTGCAATAAGTATTGGGTGCGGCTCATGATATCTGAGCCCCACTTAAAATATTGGGGGCTCAATGGTATCTGCGCCCCTAAGGACTCAATGATATCTAAGCCCACAACAAAATTGGGGGCTCAATGATATCTATAAGCCCCGCCAAAAATATAGGGCGGGGTTCAATGATATCTGAGCCCCCCCCCCCCCAAGATTTTTTATTGGGGGCTGTGCCCCCGCAAGCCCCCCTCCCCGGTTCCTAAGCCTATGTCTGCGATCACGACTGAATCACCATGGTATCACCGATCTCTAGCTAGCTCTAGCTCTAGCTATAGAAATAAAGATCGGTGTGTGATTCTATGGCATGCAACGATGGGTATGATTGGTCAACATTAAACTAACGGTAGTGTGTTTTACTTACGTTACTGAATTACTTAGACAGTTGCGTTAATGAAAACTAAAGAGCTTACGTAGGTAAAATAATCCCTAGAATGAGTATACGTAAGCTTTTCATCATTTGACTAACGTAACTGTTTAGTAACGCAAGCACTACTCTGTACAATCATTGGATACTAAGTGTACGTTAGTGTTTCCTTATTGGTTACGTTACTAGTTAAGTTTATGGCGGGGTTGGCCTTCCATATTTGACTAACGTAACTGTTTAGTAACGCAAGCGCTACTCTGTAAAATCATTGGATACTAAGTTTACGTTAGTGTTTCCTTATTGGTTACGTTACTAGTTAAGTTTATGGCGGGGATGGCCTTCCATAGAAAACGCACGCTAGCGCTAGCGCACACCACATTCGCAGCTTGATTCGAGGCATCAGCAAACTGAAGCCGAAAAAAAAGGTTAAAGGTCACTATCCTTATCCGGTCTATAGATCTTGGCCAATCACAGATGCTCCCGCCACATGAACCTTTACCGCGCGAACCATTGTCAAAAAGTCGTCATTTCGCTGGAGATTGTCGTGCTGTACAGTTGTGTCGTCGTCCTTGTTCTGATTCTGCTGGTGACTGCTCCAAGTTTTTCAAAACCACTTGATTTTCCTCGTATTATTAGCTCCAAATACACAGTATCATCATGTTTGAAGCAAGGCTCCTCCAAGGATCAATCCTGAAGAAAGCTCTGGAAGGCATCAGGGAGTTGATCACATCAGGAAATTGGGAATGCTCATCGGCAGGCAAGAAGAATCCTTTTTTAAACTTTGTTTTACTTTATAAATTTAAGTTAAACATGTTTGATAATGATAACTGATTATGAATAGATTCGAAAGGAAAACGATTACCTTATTTGTTATTACTGGATCAAATCTATTTTTTGTTATGTAATTTACTGGAAAAATGCAGTCAGTTCTGATGAGTTGATGATTGATTGAGCTGAGCTGAGCTTCCAAAATTCCAGAATTCTCTCAAGACTCAACATCATTTTGTGTAATAAAAATAGGTAAGACACCCTCAGTGGCAGACCAAATCAGCTGCAGCCCCCCCCCCCCCCCCCTCTTGGCTTTTTTTGGCGGGATTAAAAATTCAAATAACTTAAGAATAAAAAATTAAGATGGGAAAGGGAGAGAAAAGAATGAGGCAAGATTGAGAGTTAGACTGAGTGAGAGAGGGAAAAGGAGAGAAAGAGAAGGAAAAACAAAAATGTTGACTGAATCACGGGTCAGCAAAATTGGATGGTAAGGCTGCGTAATCAGTAGATCGACAGTAGGCTACAGTGATCAGTATGGGGCGCTGGTCAGTGATAATTTTCTTGATGCATACATTGACTTTGTAGACCTAGATCTACAAATACAATGTACAGAGACTTTTACATTATGAGCGATAAATCCTCGGAAAGACGGACAACCTGTAAAGTAGAGGGTGAACTAGGGATGTTTTCTCATGGGGAATTTTTTCACATCGCCAGAGGGTGGTTCAGTAACCCAGAACCCGCAGAGCGCAGATGAAGAAAAAAACGTCCACGAAAATGCACTGCAGACGATCCTTATTTTTGAGGACGCATTTTGGCCGCGTTAAATTGCAGCAGCCTTTTATTTGCCGCTTTAAAAAGGGGAAAAGGAAAATTACAACTTGGAGCAACAGAACTACAAAAAAAAAGGATCAAGAACAAAGAAGAAGAAAAAAGACCCTGAAACTTAAATTTACACATGCACTTTAAGAAATATTAAGATATAGGTCTACATGTATGATGTAAATAACCTTGCTAATGAGTTGGCTTGACAATGTGACAATTGTCTACAAAGATTTCAGATGAAAGTAGAACAGTATGAAGAAATTGTCTAGGTCATAAAAGTGTTAAAAACTACCAGAAAATATCTGGTTACCGAATAACTTGAAAAGTATTTTATGCAATTCAAACCAATCTTGGAGGAAGTATGAACTAATTACGTTTTGGGCAGTAAGAGTTGTAGGGAAAACGTCGATCTTGCCATGATAACTTAAAATTTTATGAAGTAATTCAAACCAGACTTAGATGAATTATGAATGAGCATACGAGGATGAGCTGATTAGATTTTGGGCAGAAAGGGGAGTGAGTCATAAGCATTTAAAATGCTGTCAAATATCTCATTACTGCAAAAACTTGAAAAGCAATTCCCACCAAACTTGGATGAGCATGCATGAGTGGCAAGATTTTGAGTAGAAGAGGTCAAAGGTCGCAGGATCGTAGAATATTAAAAACTACTGGAAAATTTATTGTTACTACAATAACTTGAAAATCATTAAAGCAAATCATAGAAGTGATTAGATATTTGGTGGCAGAGGTCACAGGCTCTTAAAATGTTAAGTACACTGTACTACCAGACATGACATGTGAGAAACATGTCTACAAAGACCACCCAAGGGAGACGAGAAAAGTGGTCTTTATAGACAGGTTCCTTTAGTGTAAGTTTCAATAAGAAATCGTTTTCAAGACAAAAAAAAAAAATGTGGTCTTTGACTCTTTGTAGACAGGTGGTCACTAAAGCAGGTTTGACTGTATAAGTGATTTCGACATGCAACAATACTTACATTTTATAAATTTGCAATCAATGAGTGATCTGCGAAATTGATGAAAATAAAACCTCTGTGAAAATAACTGCACATACAGAAATAGGCAGACCTAGTCATGTTCGTTTTTCTTTTAATCCAACAGGCATCAGCATGCAGGGCATGGATCCAAGCCACGTTGCACTGACTGTCCTCATGCTCCAGAATGACCTGTTTGATCAATTCAGATGTGATCGCAACGTGACACTGGGACTGAACCATGCAACGTAAGTTTCCTGGAAGTACATTTTTCAGATTTTAACTGCAATAACTTGTGAAGCGTGAAAGCGATTCAAACCAAACTTGGCACAAGTATGTATGAGCATGCAACTTGATGCAAGGATGAACTGCTTATATTTTGGTTGTAGGAAGTCAAAGGTGAAACTGTGAAAGGTCACAGGGTCACAAAAGTGTCTAAAATCCCAGAAAATATCTTATTACTGCAATAACTTAGAAATATTGAACCAATGTTAAACAGGTTTTCGCAGTCCTGATCAAGTTCTTATCCAGATCATCTAAGCAAATGCACTGACACATGAAACTCCTGAAAACCTATCTTCCCAACCTTTCTTTCCTCATGCTTTTGTTTAATGGCCAATGCTCAGTCATCTGTGATCGCATTTTGATGAGCAGCCTTTCAAATTCAAGAAAAGGTTTATCAACAACCATACCATTTTGCAATTTCTCCTGGGTTATACATGTATATTGGTCTTGAATAACTGGTTTAATTATTATTGAATCACACTGCAGATGCATCTACTCTTAATTATGCCTCCGCCACCGAAGGTGGTGCCGGAGGCATCATGTTTTTCGGGTTGTCCGTACGTCCGTCCGTCCGTACGTCCGTCCGTCCGTCCGTACGTCCGTCCGTACGTCCGTCCGTCCCGTTTGACCGTTATCACAATATCTCAAGAACCATTTAAGATTTAAACTTAAGACTCGGGAATAGTATTTATCACCATAGGAAGACGATCTGATTAGATTTTGGAGTACATAGGTCAAAGGTCACAGGTCACAGAGGTCAACTTATGAAATTCCTTGTATTGAGTTTGTTAGCGCGATATCTCAAGAACCATTTGAGATTTAAACTTCAAACTTAAGGATAGTATGTATCACCATAGGAAGACGATCTGATTAGATTTTGGAGCACGTATGTCAAAGGTCAAGGGTCACAGAGGTCAACTTATGAAATTCCATACATTGAGATTGTTATCATGATATCTCAAGAACCACTGGAGATTTAAACTTCAAACTTAGTGATAGTGTGTATCACTATAGGAAAACAATCTGATTAGATTTTGGAGCACGTATGTCAAAGGTCAAGGGTCACAGAGGTCAACTTATGAAATTCCATACATTGAGATTGTTATGATATCTCAAGAACCACTGGAGATTTAAACTTCAAACTTAGTGATAGTGTGTATCACTATAGGAAAACAATCTGATTAGATTTTGGAGCACGTAGGTCAAAGGTCAAGGGTCACAGAGGTCAACTTATGAAATTCCATACATTGAGATTGTTATCATGATATCTCAAGAACCACTGGAGATGTAAAAACTTCAAACTTAATGATAGTGTGTATCACCATAGGAAGACATTCTGATTAGATTTTGGAGCACGTAGGTCAAAGGTCAAAGGCCACAGCGCACATTATGAATGCAAAAACAGCTTGTGATCGCGTTATCTCAAGAACCGATTGATGGATTCATGCCAAAATTAGGTCATGTTTGTTACTTGCAGAGCCAATGAACTGAGTAGATTCTTGGTTCATAAGGTCAAAGGTCAAAGGTCATGGGCCCATTATGTATGCAAAAATAGCTTGTGAACGCATTCTCATTAGAACAGACAGATGGATTACTATTTAACTCAGAACATCTTGCAGAGCCAATGAACTGAGTAGATTTTATGGTCATGAGGTCAAAGATCAAAGGGTCATATATGTATATGAGAAATTGCTTGTAATCACAATATTCTGAGAACCTGTCAATGGATTACCATTGAACGTGAATTCAATTTTTTTTTTCTGTTTTGGTTTGTAAAATTGCTCTATAACGGAGGCATCATTTTCGACTGCGCGCAGTCGAATTCCATCTAGTTTTACACTTGTTTTAATTTCAGATTCTCCAAGATTCTAAAGTGTGCTGCAAATGATGATATTATCACATTGAAGGCTGAAGACCAACCGGACGAATGCAACCTTTTATTCCAGTCAGCCAACGATGACAAGACATCAGATTTTATCATCAAACTGACAGACATTGATCAAGAGACACTTGGCATTCCAGTAAGTTCTCTTCCTCAGTGTAATAAATACTTTATGTTCACTGGACTGTTTTTTACCAGAGTTACTCCTGTTTTCAAGTTAGTGTGAAATTAAGCAGAAAAATTGTTGGTAAAAGTTAAAGAAATGTGATCTTTTTTTATTATCCAACTCATATTGGTAATAAGGGCCATTCTCATTTGTAAACATTGCATTGAAAATACATTTATTTTACATTACCCTAAAACCCTCGACCAAACTGGATATTTTAAGATCCCTTGTGTTGTACTATGTTAGATTTCATTTATTTATTGATCTTTCTCATTTTTTTTACCAGGACACGGAATATGCAGCCACAGTCAAGGTCCCATCCGTAGAATTCCAGAGGATTTGTCGAGATCTGAGCCAGTTTGGCGACACCATCATCATCTCAGTCAAGAAGGGATGCGTCGAGTTCTCAGGAACCGGTGAAATCGGATCTGCTAAGATTGCACTCAAGGAGAGCGGAAACGTTGACGATGACGAGAAGGTAATTTATTAAATTTGTGTTTCAACAAAACATTACAAATCAATTATAAACATTTACAACAAATGTAGAAGTACATAATGGAAACAGAGGGGTCCACTAAAATGCAATGCTTGTACAAGTGTGAACACCTCAAATGATACTTCAGAATAATGAGTAATTATTTTAAGAAGTCCGTTACTACAAAAGGGGGATGCTAACAGAGACAAGAGGGTACATTACATGACAAAGATAGAAGAACACAGTCATAATAATGTTCAAGTAATTTTCATTAACAAGGTATAAAGAGTGGAGGTGTGGTTCATTCACTGGACTGTCATCAGTCCAAGGATCAAGGATTCAAATCACAGTCTGGCTTTGACATCCTGTAGCAAGACATTAATCCATATTTAAAACACCACCTTAAGAAAAATCAGGGAAGGTTGTTTTCTTGAAATAATAGTTATTGTTTGTTTAGAGCCAGAAGGGCATGTTTCAGATAATTGTCTTTCTGGCTCCTAACAGAGAAAATGGACTCCAGCCCCGAAGGAATGTTCTTGACAAATGGGTGACTTCCCACATCTGTAGACCATTTCACAAAAAGAAGAGATTCACATAGCTTTTCAGTGATCTTGGGTTTCACATAACATCATGTTTCCTATTCACAGGTTTCATTTTGTTCAAACTTTCTCCTGATTTATTTCTCTGACTTTATTTTTTCTTCCTCTTGGATTGCTCTTTGGACTTCATGAATGTTAACATGAAAATTAAGAAAGCCCATTTTGCCAATTTGCAGATTTAGTTGGTATTGATGTCATGTTTTGACATGTTTCTGTTGCCAATTTGATAATAATAATAATAATTATCTTTTAAAGTCCACTCCAAATTTTATTAACTTAAACCGAAAATGGAAATTCTTTTTGCCCAATTAATCGTGAGCCCGGCAGCCACTGAGCACCGCCAGATCGACGTTGCTCTATCTCTTATCGTTGAACGCCAAACAAGGTAGCAGCAACTCCCGTCTTTTAACGTCTTTTGGTATGACGCGGCCAGGGTTCTTTCAGATTTACTTAGTACTGATGTAATGTTTTGACAGGTTCATGTGGTCAATTTGCAGATTTATATTGTATTGATGTACTGTATGCTTTTACAGGTTTCTGTTGAGATGGACAAGGATACACCATGCAGTCTCTCATTCGCTAGCAGATATCTGAACTACTTCACAAGGCTACATCACTCTCAGACACAGTCACACTTCAGCTCTGTCCTGAACATCCACTAGGTAGGTCATCATAGGGTTCGGTCAGTATGGTTAAACTCACTCCTAGTTCTGGTTCTAGGACACCTCTTCCCCCCCCCCCCCCCCCCCCCCCCCCCGATAACCAGTCCCTGTCAAACTACCCCTTAAGGCAACCACCTTCTAGTACAACTACCCCCTACGAAAACCATCCTCTAGGACAACTATCCTAATCAAATGATTGGTCAAATGTGGTCACTTGATCCATTTAACTACGACCGTCGCTAGTTTTTTTTTTCTTGAAAAAGCATTGCAATAGTTTCCAACAAGCCTTTTAAACTTTGGGTTCATTTGTCAGTGATGACACAACATAACCTTGAAATGAATTCTTTTAACATCAAATAACAATGATCTACAAGTTGTGTTATTTAAAACAAATGATGAATGTTTCTATTTGTTCATTACAAGATCTATCTGTTCTTGTTGAGCTTGCTTATACATGTGTACATGTCTTACACAAAGCTAAAGTAGATATATTCATCAACATCTCCCACATGTTTCATTCTATTATGTTCTGATTGACATGTATGCTTGTGTTGCAAATAACCTGAACTTCCCTTGTTTATAATGGTATCAAACTTTTTATCTTTCATAGTTGTATCCTATGACATTGGTGACAACGGCTCCCTGAAGTACTACCTTGCGCCAAAGATTGAGGAGGACTAAATCATTCAATGGCAATTTCCAGGCTATCAGGATATGAAGCTGCAAGTCGATTTTGGTCCAAAGAACGTTTCCTAGTAGGTCTTAGTGGTGTCACTAGTACAGAGGGTTCTACCAGCATAGTGAAGTGTACAGCAAAAATCATAGACTTTGGGTATTATCTATTTGTGTAAAGTGAGTAGTATACTCCACGACATGATTATATTTATTCATGATTCATCTTGTGTTTGATGTAAAGATCCTTCAGATATGATATTATGTTCAAAGTCTGTGATTAAAGGTTTCAAATGTCTGTAATGATATAGGAATGATTATGTCATCAAATATACCTTCTGGGTAAACAGGCTCGGGCTCGTATTGTCATGTACGTGATATAAGGAAAGCTTATAAGACAGTCATAAAAAAGGGAATTTTTGTATTCTTGTAAGATATATTTATTCCTATGCAGGTAGATCGGAGATAGAGAGGATAAGGTACAATTTGATACACATGAGGCTTTTGATTAATGTATCTTAGATTATGTCCCTCTACATGTACACTATAACTATACTAAAATACCAACATGATTTGTTTGGGTAATGTTCTTTCGACCATGATGTGATGAATGTTTGTAAATAAATTGTTATATAATATGTGTGTATCCTTCTACATGTGGTAGAAGTATTTAGCTTGAAAGTGCACTTTGCAAATCACCATGACATAACAGATGATTGAAAGGTCTACTTTGATTAAAGCCTTGTCGCCCTTCACCGTAACTCATTTGTACATTGCACTCGGGTAATGTTATTAAGGGTTTTTGATCAAGCACATTCATATAGAGCAGTTTGTGTGGAAAACTGGAAATCTAAACACCATTCTGATTTGTGGGTTATAACCCCAAGAAATGAAAATATTCATGTATACTTAATTGCTCATTAAAAATGTAAGCAAAATACAATCTCTAGATATTTAACGGAAATGTATACTGCATCTCGTGAAAATTATCTGTGATGAGGTGTACTTCAGCTTTTATAGTTGTTCATCATTGATTAGATATTTATTGTATTTAAGGTATTGACATTGACCATTCAGTCAAACATTTACCTACACTGCAGCCTGCATGACATCATTAATGTAACATAAAATACAGAGGCAGGTCAAACACAAATGGCTAATCATGTAATGGTCTCAATATTCCAGTTATATGCCATGTATCAATTAGCAAAGTGCTATGTTCTAAGTTTTCTCTAGTATTGTGCATTCTCAATTCAATAAAACTGTAAATTTAGATTGTGCATCTAAAAATGTGCATGCTATATTTTATGAGGTTAAAGGTGAAATGGATGGGTCTGTAAAGTTGATAAAAGAGGAGATGGGTGTACAGGGAGGGGTAAAGGTAATTTTTTAGAGAGTGAGAGGCACATGGGAGGGGTGTGATTGGAGAGGTATAGGGAGGGGGAAAGGTGATTGTATGAGCATGGCCCTTGCCACATCCATTGTAAGACAGGGGTGTACAGTGTGATATGTGAGAGGCAGAAAAGAGGAGTGTGATTGTAAAAGGGAACCAAAACCTTTGTACTAAGTTACTTTTATTGTAAAGTTTAAGATATTTGAAAAATATCGGTGAAAATTTGAACAAAATCGGGCAAGGAATAAGGAAGTTAGAGATTTTTTAAATGACTAGTCACTAGAGGGCGGTATTCAATTTGATGACATCTGTGGACAACTCTCCATGCCTTTTGTACATCAAATTTCATGTTTTTCCTTCTCTCTTGTGATTGAGATAATGTACTCCCCTGAAAGCAAGATATAGATTTCAAAATGATATTCTACTTCACATGTTATGAAGTCGGATCAAGAACACAAATAAATACGAAGAAAACGAAAAAAAATTGTGAAATTTTATGTACAAAAGGCATGGAGAGTTGTCCACAGATAATGTCATCAAATTGAATATCGCCCTCTAGTGACTAGTCATTTAAAAAATCTCTAACTTCCTTATTCCTTGCCCGACTTTGTTCAAATTTTCACTGATTTTATTCAAATCTATTAAACTTTACAATAGAAGTAACCTAGTATGAAGGTTTTGGTTCCCTTTAAGTTAAGATGTACATGCAGAGGGCTTATAGAGAGGGGGGTACAGGGGAGGGGTGTGATTGTAAGAGGATGGACCACACCCTACCACATCCATTGAGTGATTTCAAGTTGGGTGTTAGTGTTAGTGTTAGTGTTAAGAGCAGTCAAGAGCTCTTAAACCGAGCGAAACATTTGCTGATGAAATTAAGAGCCCGATACCGATATCAAAATCGATTGCTTAACACCAGCTGTGACGTCACCGCTTACTTGATTTCACGACGATGATTTAAAAATAGTACATCAAAACTAAAGATATCATGAAAAGTACAGAATAAATTTACACCTGTTTCTCTGGTCTTATAAAATAACTCATTTTACACAAAAGAATATATAAATTACCTGCTTCACATATTTTTATTTGATCGTCAAACAGTAAATTGGCGTCGTTCGTGCGTTGGCTGTTGTGCGGTACAACACTAACACCGAACTGGAAATCAACATTTGCTTAATCCCTAGGGGCTAGTGTTAGTGAATAGGACATTTGTACGTAAAATATTAACACCAGCCACAAAGGTCGGTTCAGCAGACGACAATTTTGCAAAATCGATAACACTAGCTACCGGAAGTTGACGATATTCAGAGGTCAAAGCCTTAACACCAGCTGATTTCCATTTCGGTGTTTAGGCTGGTGTTAGTGTTTATTAAACACTAACACCAGCCTTAAACACCCAACTTGAAATCACTCATTGTCGAGAGAGGCACAGGAGAGTGAGAGGTGAAAAGAGGGTTGTGATCACGGTAGAGAGCGAGAGAAGAGTGATTGTTAGAGAGCGAGAGGTACAGGGATCTAGGGGTGTGATTGGAGGAAAGATGATGGGTATATACAGGAAAGGGGTGCAATTAAAAGAGCATATTGACCCTACCACATCCATGATAAAAGAAGCTAGGGGTCGACTGTAATTTATAAATAGAGGATCAGAGACGGGTCAAATAGCATAGTGCTTTTTTTAATTTAGGGTATCTATAATTTTCGTGATTATATCAAGATGAATGTATGAAACAAAATAAATTACCCCCCCCCCCCCCCCCCCCCAACAAAAAGGAGGGGAAAACGAAAGTCCAGTTGCTGATTGCTTTCACTTCTACAACCGGTTGGCTACTACAATATCTAGCCTGCTTAGTTGAGCGAGTGGAAACCCTCTGCAATGTTGTCTCTTGCTGAAGTGCCTGTATTTGGCAATGATAATGCAGCTCAGTTCAAGATATCGCGCGCACACCGTTTCGCTCGCTACGTACGGTGTTCCATGGAGATCTCCATGGGTGTTCCAAGCGGAACTGCCGCTAAACGTCGCAATGGTCGTGAGCTCAAGTTCTGTGACCCAGAATGCGTACGCTCGCTTCACGTATTACATTGGCGTAATAATCTACAAACCTCATGAATAAAAATATGATTATGATTAACATACATTATGCATGCACACTATTTGATACATATAGCATTGGAAAGAGCATTTGAAAAGAGGCAATTGTTGAACTTGTCAAGGGTATGTTGCACAGAACTGAAAATAAGTATTTTCAGTTCTGTGGAATATGCTTTACTTATATTGCCCCCCAGGCGGAGGGCCAGGGGGGCGGTGCCCCCAAAAATATAAATAAATCAGCCCTAAAAAAGAGAAAGAGAGAGAGAGAGAGAGAGAGAGAGACTTAAGGACGTAGGAAGAAAAGGAGCAGCTTTTTTCTCTAATAATTAAATGAAACGTCAAAGCTTTCGCGCGAAAGGGGGGAAACTGAATTCTGGCAAGGAATGAGAATCCAGAACGGTATAACGAATCGTCTAAGAGAGAGAGAGAGAGAGAGAGAGAGAGAGAGACGGAGCTATAGGAGGGAGAGAGAGAGACTAAAGGGGGAATCGATCAAGAGAGAAAATTAATTAGAGATCAATGGAAATGATTGAGAGGTGAGAAACGGGAGGAAAGAATAGAAATGCACTCCACTGTGACCTCAGGGGGGGGGGGGAATCACACATTAAGACATACGGGGTGTGCCGCTCTAACTTAATGGGTCACTTTTTCACACAAAAAAAAACACTAAATATGGCTCCCATTTTTAACAAAAATATCCCTAAACATAGATTTGCCCTACGCGTGCTCAATACCGCCCCCTAAAATAAAATCCTGGCTACGCGCCTGCCCCCCCCCCCCCCCGCCGCCCCGCTTGTATTGATTTTAAGCTGCTCTGATTCTTTAATTGGAACTATGATATAAATCACGCGACTTTTGAAAGGACTTCAAATGCCGCGTGGCAATTCCAGGCGACTGAAACTGGAAGCACGAGGGGAATTTAGCATTTACTTTAAATTGCCAAATTTTAGATATGAAAAGGCCGCGGGAATCGAGTTGAAAAAAAAATGATATGAGCATAATGCGAAAAGGGGAGTATTATAATTAGGGGCATGGGCCTGTCTAAAGACCGAGTTACAAAAATGCCAAATGTGCCGCCAAGTTCGGAAGAGGGGGCGCCAACGTCGGCGAGAAGAAAAAAAATTAATTCAAATTTACCTCCCAAAATATATAGGCCTACAGTCTAGTAAGACCACATTTTTTCGTATACCTTGAATAAGGTTTCTCATTGAAATCTGTACGGTACATAAAGAGCTACCATCTGCCTATAATGAGACCACTTTTCATGTGTCCCTTGAATGGTCTTTATAGACAGGTTTCACCACTGGCGTACTGGTGGGGGGGCTTGGGGGGCGCCAGCCCCCACCCCCCCCCCCCCCCCCAAATAAAATTGAATCATGACTTATTTTCACAAGTGATGTATAAATGTTCGTGATATCACATGATTTTCAACTAAAACGGAGTCAAATTTCACTCTGAATGGCGTCAGCTGGGAGTCAACTCTATTCCTAGTTAAAGTGACACGGAAAAGGAGTCATCTTGACTCTGAATTGAGTCAATTCTCAGCTGATGCCACACAATCCGAGTCAAATTGATTCGGAATCCGTGTCACTTTAACTGAATAGAGTTGACTCCCAGCTGACGCCATTTAGAGTGAAATTTGACTCCGTGGAAATAAGAGTGTAGTTTCTCCATTAATTCTTGCAAACCGACCCATTCTCAAAAAGCCAGGAAGAGCTTATGTTTTTTAAAGTCACTGAGGGCCTTATAGTGGCCACTAACAGTAACACTAGTAAAAAAAAAATCCTTTCCAGAAGCTACTGTGCAAAGCACTGCATGCCGGGAGGCGTTATTTTTTCTGCGGCACAGATTGGGGTTAGGTGCGTGTTGAGCCTATGGGAAAGTTTAGGGTTAGGGTTAGGATTAGGGTAAGGGTTAGGGTTAAATCAAGACCTCTTTAAAAAAAAAAAAAAAAAAAAACAATCTGTGCCGCAGAAAAAAATGACGCTGCCGGGAGACAACATGCTACACTCTTATTTCCACGGCGTCAAATTTCACTCTAAATGGCGTCAGCTGGGAGTCAACTCTATTCCTAGTTAAAGTGACACGGATTCCGAATCAATTTGACTCGGATTGTGTGGCATCAGCTGAGAATTGACTCAATTCAGAGTCAAGATGACTCCTTTTCCGTGTCACTTTAACTAGGAATAGAGTTGACTCCCAGCTGACGCCATTTAGAGTGAAATTTGACGCCGTGGAAATAAGAGTGTACCCACCACTCGGGCTGAGCATGCAGATTTGCGAACGAGCGTTCCATACTTACATCATGTAACACTGCACATATAGTGGGGGGAAATGAATTCAGACAAGATTAAGAGTAGAGAACGGTACAACGAATGGTCTTCTTTCTCTAATAATTTAATGAAACGGCAAAGCTTCCGCGCTTCGCGCGGAAGGGGGGGGGGGGATTGAATTCAGACTAGGATTAAGAGTCGAAAATGGTACAACGAATCGTCTTCTTTCTTTAATGATTAGATGAAACGCGAAAATGATTTCAGACAAAGATTAAGAGTAATAATTAAATGAAACGACAAAGCTTCCGCGCTTCGCGTGGGAGGGGAAAAACTGAATTCAGACAAAGACATGATAACACGAATCGTCTTCTTTCTCTAATAATTTAATGAAACTTGAAAGCCTCCTCGTTTTGCGCGGAAGGGGGGGGGGGACTGAATTCAGACAAGGATTAAGAGTCGAGAGCGGTTCAATGATACAATGAATCGTCTTCTTTCTTTAATAATTAAATCAAACGTCATAGCTTCCGCGC